CTCAAGACGCTGAGATCCAAGGCTCATGCCTGGTTCCAATCCAGGCCTGGAAGGAAAGTTTGTGAAACTCTTATCTCCAGGACACCACAACGAACAACAACCACAACAAAAGATGGAAGTAGAGGTGTGGCTCAAGTGGTACAGCACCAACCTGGAGTGAAAAAGCGAAGGGGCAGTGTCCAAGCCCCGAGTTCAAGCCCTAGTACTGGCACAAAGATAGGAGGGAGAGAGCAAGGGAACAAGAGAAGGAAGGAGGAAGGAAGGAAGGAAGGAGGAAAGGAGGGAAGGAGAAAGGGAGGGAGGGGAAAGAGGGAAGAAGGGAGGGAGGGAAGAAGAGAGGGAGGGAAGAAGGGAGGGAGGGCAGAAATGAGCTCTTCATCCATATAGTTATTCGTCTCACTCCTTTCATGTGTATGGGTTTACTTTTGTCTGTGCAGAATCTTCATCTAGCTGAAGGCTTCTATCTGTCTTGTTTCGCGAGCGTCTGTAGCTCAGAAAGTATTTGGTAGGCTCTCCTTGCCAGCATTGTGTATTTTTAAACTTCTGTGATTCCCCCCCCCTAGTTCTTTTAGGATTTCATTTTCATGTTTAAAACATCGATCCCTCTAGCATTTATTTTGAGATGAAGTGTGATGATGAGATTCAAGTGGTTTTTTTTTTTTAATTCCCAAATGGCTTCTCTGGGTTGTTCCAAAACCATGTGTTGAATAATTGATCTTTTCCCCCCACTGATTTGAAATTCTACTTTCATCCTCTATTAAAAAATCTCCATATACATTTGGATCCATTTCTAGACTCAGAGACCCATTTCTTCTTTGGTGTATTCAGGAAGACCACACCTTTTAAATGATGGCAGCTTTACAGTATACTCCAGTGTCTGCGCATATCTCTTCCCCCTGACCATTCCCTCTCAGACTTTTCTTGGTTGTTCTTTTATGGTTGCTGTTTTGTGCAGACTTTAGAATCGCTTATTCTAATGAAGAAATCCTAGGTGTGGGGAAGGGTGGAGGTGTGAAATGAAGAAATGTGGAAGGAATGGTACCTTCAGTGTTGACTCCATCTCTCCACATTTCTCCATTTGGTTATCTGTCTAGAGGGTGAGGGTGGCTAGCAAGGCTGCTGGGTACATACAGTGGCATAGGTTGTGTGCACTGTGCCATCTTAGGAGGAAGGCTGAGAAGAGCAGCCGCCCCCACCCACGGGACAGCATTACCCCTCCAGGGCCGTGTGGCAATCTACACGGGGTCCTGCAGTAAGCACAGCCCCTCCTAGGCACATGCCGGCCTCAGTTCTAAGCACTTGAGGTCCATTCATTTACTTCGTCCTCATGGCAAACACACTCCCAGTTTGCAGAGAAGGAAACTGAGGAGCAGAGGTTGCATAACTCTCCCAAGCCCTGTGATTCCTACCTTTGCATGTATTCACAACCAGCAATCAGATGCATGTGCCCATGTGTGCGCATGCGCGCGCGCGCACACACACACACACACACACACACACACACACACACACACACACGAACAGATGTGCCCACACTCACACTGATATTCCCAGATACACGTGTGGTCACAGTGTATCCCTGCACACATGTGAGCAACACACACACATCACACACATCACACGAGCTGACATCTTCCCAGTTCCCCGCCCCACCCCGAGCCATCCTTCCTCAGATGAGTGTGGGCCCAAGGAGGACATGGGCTGTTGGACACATGGCTACTGCGCCACCCAGGATCCCCAGAGCTGGGGCCTCATGGGAAGGGTACCCTATCCACATGGGCTCTGAGAGAGGATTTTCATTCCAGGCTGGAGGAAGAGAGGGGAGGGATGGGAGCACTGAGGGCATGAGCTGGGACCCAGCAGGTGCTCAAGGTAGGTTTGCCCTTCCTCTCCCTTCTCTTCTCCAGAGTCTTCATCTCCAGCAACCCCGGACATCAGCACACATCATTCCTCCAGGCTGCCAGGGTCCCATTTAGACCTGAGGAACAAACTAGCAAAGGCAGACCTGGAAGCTAATTGCCCATGAGCAGATTGACAGTGGCCAGGGGTGCCGGGGTACAGAACACGTGCACACACGCACACACACACACACACACACACACACAGATCTGATTTTGAGTCAGCCCCCACATCCAGGCAGGGATTTAATCTCCGGGGGTTGGGAATGTTATTGTTTTAAAACAAACGAGGGATGACATCCGCGAACAGAGGGTTTTTAAAAAACGCAATTCAAAGGGCTCTTGAAAGCTTGCTGGCGAGTATGAATGCGCCTTTGAAGCGAGAATGTGCCCATTTGTTAAGCCGAGAGCCGAGCTGGCTGCCGGGAGGACACGAGTCGCTTTTCTTGGCAAACTGCCCCAATGGTGAAGCCTCCCTGGTCTCAGTTGGAGGTGGCCGGGGACCCCCAGACACACAAGCATCTCTGGGAGGGATGGAGGATGACCACCTCCAGCTAGCTAGCGGTCATTCTCGGAAAGCGATCGCTCTTCAGGAGCTCTTCGGTTCTTCGTGACGGCTCATCAAAGCTTTGGAAAGATGCGCCCGCAAGCAAGCAGTGTGAAGCTCATAATGAAGACATCTTTGGCCAGATAGACCCTGGAAGAGCAGTCAGGAGTCCCTGGCCTGCATTGGCTTTCTGAGCCATCCACAGGCTTGCTTTCTCTTGTAGCCCCATAGCAAGGGGAGCTGACAGGGATGGGGGCTTCCAGGAAGAGCCTCCCAAACCTTTGCAAGTTATGCATTCTGAAAGATTGTGCGCCTAGGCCTAGGGATAGGGTACAAGGCTTAGAGATGCTGTGTTGTAAAACCCCAAAACATATTGCAATTGTGTATGTGTCAGTGTGTGTGCCTGTGTGAGTGTGTACTGGTAATAGGGCTTGAACTCCGGGCCTTGTGCTCTTGCCTGGCTCTTTTGCTCAAGGCTGGCACTCTACCACTTGAGTCAGACCTCCACTTCTGACTTTTTGTTGGTTCATTCCCAGATATGTCACAGACTTTTCTGCCCAAGCTGGCTTTGAACCACAATCCTCAGAACTCAGCCTCCTGAGTAGCTAAGATCACAGACATGAGCCACCAACAAACGGTTCACTGTGATTTCTGCGTTATTAATTCCTTCTTGACTGATCCTGACTGTGGGTGCCCCGTACTGGCTAGAACTGTGTGTGAGAGGAGGATCCAAGTCCTGGGGCTCGGCCTGGGGTGCAAAGAGGCCCCCACCCTGTGCAGCTCCTTCCTTTGCTTGCTTTTGTTTGCTCCCTTTCTTTGGTTGAAGAAGAATGTGTGGCCAGCCAAGTACCGGGGCTCACACCTGTAATCCTAGCTACCCAGGAGACTGAGATCTGACGATCATAGTTCAAAGCCAGCCCAGTCAGGAAAGATAAGCCTCTTATCTCCAATGAACCACTCAGAAAACCAGAAGCTGTGGCTCAAGTGGTAGAGCACTCACCTTGAGCTGAAGAGCTCAGAGACAGCGCCCAGGCCCAGAGTTCAAGCCCCATGACTGACAAAACAAAACAAAAAGAATGCATGGTAGCTCTGGGCTCTGGGCTCACAGGGGAAGCAACCTGAGGTTGCTTGGGGCATCAGCCAATGCCAGGATGATCTCTGCCAGGGTGTTGAAAGAAAGAACCTCATGCTGGATAGATGCCCCAGGGCCAGCACAAGGCCAGCTTCGCACCATTGCTTTCTCTTTGGCCCTGATGGCAGCTAGTTCCCTTCTGTGTTCATGGATGGGGCACTTGCCCACCTTACCAGCTGGGCAGCAGTGGGGGTGGGATGTGAGCACACGCACACACACACACCTCTGGATGTTTCTAGGCTCCATCACTGGCATGGAAGTCAGACACATGGGCCTGCCCTGCGGGGCCAGCAGCTTCCCGAGTGGCTCTGAGCACGTGGGATCCATAGAAGGCCGGTGGACGTGGCCACGCCTGGGCTGGACCCCTGGCCTGCCATTGAGCTACGTGTGGAGGGTCCTCAGGACACAGTATTCATTGCCCGGTGCTTTCTGGGACTTCCTGGGGTTCCGCAGACACACTAACTCTGAATCTCGGCTCTTGCCTTGTGCCCATCCTCTCCTCCCATCCTTGGCCAGGCAGTCCTGAGCAAGGGGCAGGCAAGGCTCTGCCTCTCTCTGTAGCTGATCTTCCGGCTTCCGTGTGTCCTTTCTAAAATGTGGGTCCTAACCCCTGGAGCCATGGGGTGGCTAAGTGGGCATGCATTAACACCCCTAGAACAATGGGCTCCACTGTTCATGTTACCACCTTCTGGCTCTTTCCCCCAGGCCCCCCACACACACCCCTAAGAGTCAGGGGTCTCAGGACAGGCTTGGACCTCTTTCCCTCCTCTTCCCCTTCCCCTATCTTTCCCTCAACCCCCTCGCCTACTTCCGCTTCTACCCTCTTTCTCACTGGCCAGAGGGACAAAAAGGCTCCCTTCCATCGGAAGACTTCAGTCCCTGAAGTCTATGACGGGGGAGGGATTGTGTCTCTGTCAAGACAGCCATGGGGCTCTGTGGGCTGAGCCAGGCCAGAGAGGCATGGGCCACCCTACAGAGATGCATAACCCCAAACCCCTCTCCTCTGGCCCAGGCAGCAGGCTTTCTCTCCCCAGGAAGCTGTCCAGGCATGAACAGGGAGGCTGAGGCAGGTTCACAACAAGGGCTGGAAGTGTGCCATGGAGGAATGCTAATGCCATCTGCCCTGGAAGCCTCCCCCGCCCCTGGGGAGCAAGACAGGAACCTGCCATCCTGGCAGTTAACTTCCACCTACCTTCTTGAGTTTCTGGGGAAATCCATCCTGCCTTTGGCTGAGGTTGGGGGGTGGGGGGTTTCAGGGAGCTGCCCCATCTCTCCATGCCCTGTAGTCAGACAGGCTCAAGTTCAAGTCCTTCTGAGGTTCGCAGCCTGGGGCTAGGGGAGCTCAGCCTGCCTTGGGAGCAGAGTGGGCCAACACACGTAGCAGAGCGAGGGCTAACGTGGCTCTGTACCTTTGTTTCCCACAGATGACGTGGCCCCCTACTTCAAGACGGAGCCCGTGCGGACGCAGGTGCACCTGGAGGGCAACCGTCTGGTGCTCACGTGCATGGCCGAGGGCAGCTGGCCCCTGGAGTTCAAGTGGCTCCACAACAACAGGGAGCTGACCAAGTTCTCCCTGGAGTACAGGCAAGCCCCACCCCGCTCTGTCCTCCTGGTGCTCGGGACAATGCCCCTGATCAAAGGGGAATGGGAGGGAGGGGCTCTGTGCCATGGTGTGGAGTGGTGGCTTGACAGAAGGCTCCCAAACCAGGGCTTCCTGAGACACTGGGCCTGCCCTGCCCTACTGAGCCCAGCCGAGGAGAGCTGGATGATGGACTAGGGGACTTCCCACACAAAAGTGCGAAGACAGGCTAAGACCATGTTGTATTAGAGGATCACTACCAGCAGTGAGCCATGAAGGGCCAGAGCCCTCTATGGGAGGGGCTTGACTCCATTGGGGAAGCAGACTTGGGGAGCTGTTGGGGTGGGGTGGTAAGGCGGGAGACATCTTCGATTTGGGGGACAGTTCAGGTGGATCATGCAAGTGGTTCACCCAGAATGCACCACTCTCTACATATGCCCAGGTTCCCAAACATTAGGTCCCCCTGGGCCTCTCCCCTGTTTCTCCTCCGGACAGGGCTAAGTTGGGAGGAATAGGGAAGAACAGAGTCTAATCAAGGGCAGGCAGCTAGCTACTCCCCCCCGCCCCCCCCCCCCACACACACAGCTCCCTGGCCACCGGCCCACTGCTTTCCAGGCTCTACAGAATAGGACACTCTGTGTCTTCCTGCCTTATCCTCCCATCTCTGCCTTTTTTATTATTATTATTGGCTCCCAGGCCTGTGGCTGGTGATTAATCCCCAGGCCTGATGTGCATAATCGGTTTTGTTGAGAAACAAGATTGTCTTGCCCCGGGGATGTTGATACAAATCTATGGCCAGGGACAGGAATGCAAATGAGAGGAAGGGGTTTAATTGCTTGAGGAGCTGCTCTTTCCAGAGAAGAACAGCTTCCTTTGTAGCTGGGAGGCCGGGAGTTCAGGAGGACCCCATCCCCCAGATCCCTTTCTGCCCAGTCTCTTGCACTGGATCTGCTGGTGTCACCTGGCAATTAGCCTGGGAAGGAGAGCTGGAAAGGTCAAAGCAGGAAGAACAGCCTGAGACCTGGGCCAGGAAGCAAGCGATGTGGGCCTCCATCTCCCAAGAATCCAGAGAGGCCTCCCTGAGCAGTCCCTACAAAATCTGTCTGTTGGAGGCCCACTTTTCAGTTGGGGCAGCAGGCAGTGTCTAAAGTGCTCGTGTATTCTCTTGGGTAGTAGGCATGGCGGAGTGGGCACCAAGGTCTTGCAGGTGGCATGCTAGGCGTGTGCAATGGGGGGCCACAGCCTGCCCTTGCCTTGTGGAAAGGAGCTAGAGAAAGACCCTGGAGGAGCAGAGTCTACTCTGGATCTGGTTCAGATCCTCTGCCGTGGTATTCTGCACAGCTGGGAGTCCAGAGTGGGCACTGCACAGAAGCAGCTAAAGAACCAGTCTCACTCACCCCTGGGATGGGCCACCTTTGAAATACTCAACTCCTGTCCTTGATAGTACCCAGGTGGCAGCTGGATCCAGCTGTTCATGAAGCCCATGATGATGACAATGATAACAACAATGAAAACAATGATAACAATTGTCTGTGAAAAAATAATTTAGTGTATCAGGCACTGGTGGCTCACACCTATAATCCCAGCTCAGGGGGCTGAGAGCTGAAGGATTGCGGTTTGAAACCAGCCTGGGTAGAAAAATCTGTGGCACCGCATTTCTAATTAGGCAGAAAAAAGCTAGGCTGGAGACATGGCACAAGTGGTAGAGCTTCCAGCCATGAAGAAGAAAATTAAATGAGAGTATGAAGCCTTGAGTCCAAGCCCTGATCCTGGGTGGGGAGAGGGATGAGGAGAAGAATTTAATAGATGGTCAACATTGGCATGTAAGCCAGGTATTAGTGGCCCATGCCTATAATCCTAGCTACTAAGGAAGCTGATATCTAAGGATCATGGTTCAAAGCTAGCCCAGGCAAGAAAATCAGTGAGAGTCTTATCTCTGGCAAAAGTCCAGAAGTGGAGATGTGGCTCAAGTGATAGAGCATCAGCCTTGCATGAAAAAGCTAAAGGAGTGTCCAGGCCTTGAGTTTAAAGCTCAGGACACATACTCACACACACACACATACACACACACACACACACACACACACCTCTCTCATACTCTGATTATATCATGGACTGCTAAGAGTAGGCCCAGTTCATCTCCCCATTTTACAGATGATCGGACTGAAGTTGAGAGAAGTTAAAGAATTCCCCCCCAAGTTCAGATTGTGGAGCTAGGCTTCTAATGTAAGTCGTCAGACTCCAGAGCTGGAATTCTTTTCCACCCCCTATGCTGCTGCTACTGGAGGAAGGATTGCTACAATTGCTTCCTTAATGTGTATCCTTAGCAATCTTTCTGCTAACTGTGCTCTGCAAATTCTACAAAACAAAGCAGTGGGAGAATGCAAATATACCATTTTATAGCTGTGTTGGGTGGAAGTCATTCAGGGGAAATAAATGCGCTTCCACTTCGGGAACTCATCCCTTTGCCTTGTCACTACAGGAGCAGCGCTGCCTTGGCATGGGGCAATCAGATGCTTGAACACAGGGTTGGTCAGGAGGCTCCTCTAATTAAAAAAAGAAAACCTCACAGTGCCCACAAAGCCAGGACTGCACTCTTCAGCATGACCCCCAGGACTCGGTGGTCTGCTCTCGATGCTGCCATCTTCCTCACCTGACTCTCCAGCTAGCGTAGTACAAACTATCCTGGACTTCAGGACACTTTTCCAATTATCTCCTCTTCTCTCTGCTGCCTTGGTAGCTCTGCCCAATCTGTCTCCAGCTGGAATATCACCCCCTTCTTGGAATCTTCTCTGTCCTATAGGGTTCAGCCCAAATGCCTTCTCTTTCAGAAAGCGTTTCATGCTGGGCACCAGCTCACGCCTGTCATCCTAGCTACTCAGGAGGCTGAGATCTGAGGATCCCAGTTTGAACCCAACCCAGGCAGGAAGGCCCATGAAACTTTTATCTCCAATTAACTACCAAAAAGCTGGAAGGGGAGCTGTGGATCAAGTAGTAAAGTGCCAGTCTTGAGTGAAAAAAACTAAGGGTGTGCACATACATACACAAATGCATACATGCACACACAAACACATACACACACACAGAGAGAAAGCTTTTCCTGATTGTACACCTGTGTTGTCCCAGTATCTCTCTGACCTCTGCTCTCTCTGTTCTTCGGCACACACAGATTTCTCTCTCTTCTGACTGTCCATGACACCTCCCATTACACCCTGCCTTCTAACCACTTACATCATGCAATGAAAATCAACCACCAGAACTGAGGTCAGAACCTCCAGTTCCAGATACTCTACCTTATATCCTAGAACTTGACACTGCCAGGCCCTCTTCCCTCTAGGCTGTTCAGCTGTGTCCACCTCTAAGTTTAGACTTCAGTGACCCTGAGAAGATGAGGGAAATCAGGCTACATCTGCCTGATTTCCAAGTAGACGGTTCACTTAGGAAGTCCCAGGGAAGAATTCTGATTGGTTCAGCTCAGATCATTCTTGACCAATCACAGCGGACAGTGGCATGAGTATCACCACAATTGGCAGAGTCTGCAATATATGTCCATTCCAGCCTATTCTCCAGCCACCTGGCAGGGAGGAGGGGGAGGGCTGTGAGCAAAGGAGGAAAAGGGTGGTGGACAGGTAGGAACCACCTGTGTCCACGATGCCATCCTTGTCCCCAGGGAAGACCTGGCACACAGCAGATGCTTGAAAATTGTTAAATCTCTTTTTAAAAAACGGTAAATATAGTACTAAAAATACTTGTGTACATTTTACCATTCACTAATTGTTGATATAGCACTCTCTCTCTCCTGTGCTATTTCTGCTAAACTACTTTAGAATTTCTTATAGAAACCTATCACATCGGAACAAGGCACTCTACTACAGAACCACAACAGCTAGAAATTTAACACTGACGCCATTCTGCTACCCAATCAATACACAGTCCATATTCAAATTTGTCCACTTGCACTTAAGGAGATTATATTGTTGTTTGATACAAGAGCTCATCAAAGACCACACATTGCCTTTAATTTGCATGACAGTTTGTAATCCTTCAGGCTAGAACTATTCCTTATCTTCTCCCCTCCCCACCCCCAGCCAGTTTTACAAATATCCCTCAGTGTGAATCTGCTCAGTTAGAACCTCGAGCTTCAATTCATATTAAATCTTTTGGCAAATGTGTGGCAGAGATGGGTGTACTGGATACACCAGGTGCTAGAAGGCACCTGCCATCAGTTTGCCCCATTAGAGGTACTGATTGGTTTGACCACTTGGTCAAGGTGATGTCTACCAGATCTCTCCCTCAGCCAGGGCAGGCATCTCTTTCCCTTGTAATCAGTGAGCCACCTATGAAGTGCTTATGCAGCCCCCCATGGGCAAGACTTACCTGAATCAATTCTTACTTTTTTGTGGGGGGAGGGGTTGTCTTTTGTCGTAAGGTGATGATCAGTGTTCTTTTCCCTCTCACTGGGATTCCTTTGCAAACATCTTTGTCTTCGTACCCCCTTAAAATTATTTAACATCAATGTGAACTTACAAGTTATACTGCTTTTTGAATACACAACTGACATGTGTGAATAGAATTTGTTTTTTCACTCAGTGTTTTCAATCCATCCATCCATATCATTACTGATTTCAGTGAAACCCAAATTTAACCAATACAACCTCTTCAAGCTGAATTGCACATATGTGATCTGTCCTCATTCAATTTTGAACACTTCCTTGTTTGGGGCCCAAAGCATGTTCCAGATTTCCCTTTGAAATCAGTGCTACCGGAAGTGGCACCCCGGCAGTGGAGCTGGCCTGCCTGACGTCTTGTGGCTCTCTGACTACTGCTTGATTCCGAGTTGTTTCTCGTCTTTCACAAACCCTGGCATCAAGTCGGGTGATAATGTCCAATTCTCAGGCAGAGAAATGGCTAAATTTACTCCACACATTGCAAGAAAATAAGATTAGATGTGCTGCCATAAATTTAACTATGTCTCCTACCCTGATTCTCCAAAGGAAGGAGATTT